TTTGACTTTGCAAATTATATCATACGTGTGGATTGCGGTGTTTGCATATACAAATAATATTGAGACATATCTCTCTCCATAAGGATGCTATGACCCAGTCAGTCAAAACCTGGACAAAAAAAACTCAAACTATCGGCATAGATGGATACCATTGTTTTATTTTAATTATTTTTTATTTAACCAACAAATTAACTAAAATTATTATCCACAATGGCAGCCTGGTAAAAGGCACAGGGTGTAGGGGCTAAAAACTAAAATGTAATTGAAAATGCTTTTCTGTAATTTCGGAGAACTGAGCCTTTAAAAGAACAAATAACTAACAATATGTTCAGAGATCAGTCTCTTGCTTCACTTTCCACAAATGATAAATTTCCAGTTTCTGGTGCATTGTCCCATGAACATTACAGCTCCTGGCAAACTGTTCTGATGCATTCGTCAGTAAACAGCAGGGCCTAACCACACTGAAATGGTGTACTCTACATTAAAATGGGCTTCAAAGTAACGGAGGCTTTTTGTCCCAATTTAACACTGACTGTCATAATCATTACCGAGTAAATCATATAAAAATTACTCATCTGATGCGACAGTGTTTCAGTAACAGTGACCTACACACTTGTGTAGGAACATATTTCAACGCAAAAACAAAGTGATTGAACAGAGGGGGTGGGGGGGATATGGGAAGCACCATCTTAATAAACCGTATCATAAATATCTGACCAATTACTAGTTTATTTCAGCACATATTACATTAGACTGCATTATATATTGCTACAATTACAGTAATAAGGAAGTATGGGTGATAGGTATTACTAAGTCACTTTTAATTTGACAATGTACATTACAATGCATTGGAAATATTTCACAAACCCTTTCATAATTTGTTCTTCAAACTACTGTATTTGAAACTTGAGGTTTATTGTACTAGCAAGGAGATAATACTCAGAGTTTGCCAAATAAATAAAGCTTTGATTTTTGGAAACATAATGACTATTTAAAAAAGGTTTCCCCCCTAAAGTATGGCTGTGTATTGGCAGGATACATACATACATACATACATACATACATACATACATACCTACATACATACCTACCCTGAACTGGCAGTGAATTTTTTTTTAACAGTATAATAACTGCATCTTGGAATGGCCACTGATAACTTTAAATGCTTTTAACATGGACAGGAAAATTATGTCCTTGTTTTATTTTTGTATTTCCTCCTAAAAAGTATTTTATTCAGTCTGTTCTTACGTTTGTGATTGCTTGGTAAGGTAAGTTAAGTATAAAGGATAAAAACCACCTGAACCACATTATTAAGGTTGCTGTGACCATCCCCTGCATCTTGAGTTTGAACCCCTTCCCTCAGAAAGAGTACCAAGGTTAAAGTGCAAAAGGAATAAAAACTCCTTTGTTCCTTGTGTAATAACCCTGCTTAATTCGCACATGTAATTTACATGTTGTCTGGTTTATGGTTATTTTAATGCCAGATTCAACATCTGGCCACAGGACAACAGTTGAAAATTAGCCACCTGGCTTACACTGGCACATTTAAAGCCATGTTGATCAATATCCCGGTTATAAAAAAGGCAAATCTTGTAAATGCTCATCTGACTGCTACTGCAGTACACCTAGAAAAAACACACATTAATTCTAGCCCAGATTTTCTGTCAGCTTTTCCATGAGCCGTCTGATAGGACCTGTCTTGTGAGCTGTAAAACACTGGCTCTAAGCTCTTTGAGGCACTTTACAGCTCAGGACATGTGTAAGTGCTTTAAGTAATTCCTTTTGAAACCCCATCATTTCCCATCACAATCACTGTTAAACAGCATATGACTCGTGACTCTGCTATCATAGCTGCTCACTTTTACAGTCAGACATAGGATGTTGTCTTAACTTTTTGATCTAGCATGTCTTACATCTTCTTATATCATTTCCGGGTCTTGATCTTACCTGGTGAGTTAGCCAGTGATGCATGGAACACGGAAAAGTTGATCAAGGCATAGGACGCCAAGAAAAAGTTGGAGATGATGGGGGCAATTACGTTCAACTCGGCTGCAAGAAGAAACAGAAACAAATCAAACCTGCAATTTCATGTCTTCTAGTCCATTTCAGCAAGATCCAAAGACTGGCTTCTGATTTGATTCAACTGAATGACTCTGGAAAAAGCTTACATCAAGAACTCAGTATAGCAACCAGTCAGTCCATTTGTTGAACCATCAATTCAATTCAATTCAATTCAATTCAATTCTATTCAATTCTATTCATTTGTAGTATAGCGCCAATTCATAAAAGAAGTATCTTCAGGACACTTTCAAATAGAGTAGGTCTAGACCGAACTTCCTTATAGCATAATTTACAGAGACCAACAGTACCACCATGAGCAAGCACTTGGCGAAAATATGCCAACAACAGCTGGACAGATTGACCCTGTGCCACAATTAGGACTCCTTGACCGGAACTAATAGTCAATTTGGAATGGATATCCACGGTCCCCTTAGGATAAATCGTAAAATCCTTTGATGACCCCATCAGGTGGCATTATAGGAATTGACCCTTCCTAAGTCCCGTCCCTTTTTGCTCTGTGATCCAATATCAGTTAAGCAAACCTCGGTCAGAACCTCGATCAATTTCCTATTTTCCTGTACTTAGATATGCTATGTGCTAGGCTAATCTATGTTGAAAAGACAACCACATTTTGAAGTTGGTTAAAAGATAAAAGCGATATATAGTCATATCTTAAGTTAGCCAATGTTAACAAAACTCAAGCTAATTAGCTAGCTAATCTACATTAGCCCTTATCAAGCTAGTTATCTGGTGTGTTGCTACAGAGCAAAACACTATCTAGCTAGCTAGCTAATCAACAATTACTGTAGATTACCTAGCAAGTTAGCTAGCCTTTTGTTATTATTAGCCAACATTAACTAAGCTAAAATGTGACTATAAATTATTTTTTAATTTTTTTTATTATTAGATTAAATATTCAAATCCAAACATAGAGAGTCTAGCACATAGCCTAGCAGGAAAGGAGAAAGTTGACTGAGGTAAAGGGACGGGACTTAGTAAGGGTAACATTTCCTGTAACGCCACCATCAGACCATGTTCTGCAGTGTCATATTACTGTCAAACTTGATATTTTAAATGGAAAAGACTCTAAAACAGCAAAATCACTTTATTTTTGGGACCATAATTTTCCTAAAATTAGTACCAAATTTTATTGCTCAGGAAACATCTTGGAAATTATTCTGAAATTATAGACCTGTAACACACCTGTAGCAAATAATTATGTCATTAATATTTACATATTGTGGAGCGTAATGAATATTGCAGCCTCCAGGCTTTTAGTCTTGTTTTAATAGTGTTGTGATCTTGCACAATAACAATTCCTGATTTGTTCGAGTAAAAATGAGCACTGTGTGTATCCGTACCGATGAGGATGAAGGCCAGAGCGATAACGAATGTCAGGATGTAGCCTCGGAGGGGCTCGTTGTTTTTGCCGTAGCCTTTGGCAAACATGCCGAGGCCGGGGTAAATGTTGTCCTTACATAAAGCCTGTGGAAATGGAACGTTTGTAATCAAAAACTACAAAATTTCCCACAATCCAAAGCTGAAAGTAAATCCCTCACTAGTTTTGAGTGTAATTTGTTAGATGCCTTGATGTATTTTAGGTTGGGTCTTACCTGGAAAACCTTTGGTGCACTGACTAAAGAGGCCAGAGCTGAGGACAGAGTGGCTGAGAAGATACCAGCAGTGATGATGGGCCCAAAACCAGAAACCAGGCTCATCACCTGAATGGAAGATTAAATGTAAATTGAATTATTTAATTATTTTAACCTCACTCTCTGAAATGTTCCTAATATACTCCAAACTTCTTCTTCTGATAGAGCTGGTTTATACCTGGAAGTCCTTGTGGAGTCCATAGCGGCAGTTGTTTTCACTCTTGCAGGTAGAGAAGTCATAGCCAAAATTGCATGCAGCATCAGTGCAATTGGCCTTGAACTGTGAGCTGACTGTGTCATTAACATGTCCACTGGCATCTCTCACAATACAGGAGCCTGGTGTGAAAAAAGCATTTTAAAATACTTGAAAAGGGGCAGATTTGTAAAGCTATGGAGAATGTCATATAGCAGGTACTACTGCACCTGTTGAAACAGCAACACCCAGGTAGACTATTCCTGTGATCAAAATAGCCAGAAGGGTTCCTCTTGGAATGGCCTGCTGTGGGTCCTGCAACACACAACCACAACACAGATTTAAGATTACAAGCAATCTATAAGTGCACAAACCGTTTAATCCTTATCAATAAAATGCTTTAAGATGTCATCAATCTGCTTAATGCCACGCTGAAGGTCTTCAACTCAATCCCTGTTTCACTGTTACTTGTTTCACTACTTCCAACAGAGGAAATCAATAAAAGAACCACTAATATACGTTAAAGTCCAAGTACAAAAGAATCTACACAGAAAGACAATCGGTTTGCTTGGTTTGACAACTTTGTACTACATCAGGATAAACCCCTAGAAATATATGGTATCTTTTTTTTAAGGCGGTTTGGTTAATAGTTACAGGTGACTTACAGCAAGGTCTCCTGAAATGTTGGCCCCAGCCAGAATACCAGTGGCAGCAGGGAAGAAGATGGCAAAGACTGAGAAGAACGTTTCTCCTCGAAAGTCCGGACCCATGTTTTCCCACATGATTGAACCTGACAGGAGAATGGAGTTTTAAACAACAAAAGGGCAGCTGACGAAACTTTCCGCACCAATGCTGCTAAAGAAATCGGTGTGTGGTCGTACCATCATAGCCAAAGTAGCCAAAAGGTTCCTTGGACTCAACAGAAATGAAGGTTCCGATGAAGTAGTTGATGATGGCTGTGATGAGGACAACGAGCAAGAAGATCTGAGCCTACAGAGAAGCAAAGGAACTCATTAGTTATTATTACTCTTAGACCAATGAATGCATCAATCATACAGCGTGTCTTGTTTTTTTTTGTGCCCAGAATTTAGCAAGACTTGAGCACGTTCATACCTTGGCCTCCCATTCCATTCCGGCTACAGAGATGCCCAGGAGCAGGATTACTGTGATGGTGCCGATGATTCGGATATCATTGATTTCATCCGTCATAACAGCATCTACACTCTGAGAGACAATACAAAGAGTTGTTAAATAGAAAAACAATGACCTACCAATGCAAACATTCAAGTTCTCTGAAATGTATTTATACTTTTTAAAGATAAAAATTAAACTGCAATTCAAATGCAAAATGTTGAAAGAGATAACAAACCTGCATAAGAAGACATAAAACAAATGTTTTTGCTCGCTGTAAATCACTTCTCATGTCCATACTAGCCATTAAGAAATTCCTTTATAAAGTACTTCAAATCTAAGTGATGGAGGACATAGTCCTCGTTCTGTGTAAAAATACATTCCAAAGTTTATCTGAATGATAATATGAGGGTGACCAGCCTGAATCAAGTGTTGAACCCATGTGACGTTACCCATTGGTTTGTGGCGTACCGTTTTATACCGGCACTATGGCCGTCGCCACGTTGTTTTTTTGGAATAACACAAAAGGGAATTATGTACCAAAATTTTTTGGAAGATACCGGGTTGAGTTGTCCACCTCTGACTGCTAAAGCAGAAGAAAGGGACGGATGAACTCAAAACACAGTTGGACTGGTAGAATTGCACCAACAAGACAAAAGACATGGTAGCAATCACTAACTGCTTAAAAGCATCATAAGACACAGAGAGACTTACGGCAAGAAGTTCCACAACTGTTTCAGCAAAGCCCACCACATACATGGCTACAGCCACTGCATTGGCGAAGGCGAAGATCAGACCAATAGAGCCTCCAAACTCTGGGCCCAGACTCCTCGAAATCAAGTAATATGCTCCACCTAAAGATATTGGTAAAAGTTAAATGTTGTTAAAACTTAGAATTGATGGCATGAATGATAAGAACTGCCCAAAATGTGTAGTACCCCCCCCATATTTGCTAACACGGATGTCCTATACTGCAGCCAGCCACCAGGGGGCGACAGAGATGTTTTGGCTTTCACTTTCAGGGAGCTGTCATGTCGTCCATGTTTATATTACAGACAAATGGCCCAAATTAATTATGCACTATCCTCCTCAGCGAGTGTAAAGCGTTATAGAACACCACAGCCACACAAAAAGCAGGCAGTTGGGAGAGGTCTCCAGAGCAGCCCATTGTTCTACATCAAGGTTATATCACATATCACCACTGCCAATCAGCTGTTTGAAACAGTGTGTCTGGCTGGGCATGGTATGTCGCTAACATTTAGCTACCCCATCTTTCTCTCTCCTCTCTCTCTCTCTGCTCTCTCTGCCAATGACCCTAAGGAATTCTGGTGTTGTTCAGCCTGCCTGTACTTCAGAGTCAGGGATCAAGCAGAGGACCTCTCTAGCCTATTAATGACTAGCAACAACAAACAGATGTGGATGACAGGTTCATTTTAATCATTCAGTCAAGTCAGTTATTACATTTTTGGTTCTCGTGGAGGTGACTGTGTCGACGAAACACTAGATTATGTATGAGTATATTTGAATTCAAGGCATATAACTAACCTTTAAAGTTGTGCAGTAGGTAACTTTTATAAAAATAACTCTGTAGTCATATTTGCTGAAACTTTCACTATATCGCTGACAGATAATCTGTAAAACAATCAGGGTTTCTCCTGGCTGCCTCTTAGTGCTCCTACAATGATATCTGCAAGAATCCACCGGCCCAAACCAAAAAACGCACTAATTAGGAGCTGAGAAAGATAGTTGAACACTTGATTCTTCGTTTTGTTTATTCTCATTAAACTTTTTTCCCAACTCAAAATGAATTGAATCAGCATTCAATTGCTTATCTTGTTATAGCGCCAATTCATAACAGAAGAGTGTTCTCAGGACACTTTTTCACAATAGAGCAAGGTCCTGAGGACGAAACTCCTTTTTAGCATTGGAGTGGACATGTGAGAGAGTGAAGTGAGGAGTGAGGAGTGTTGTGGATGGAGTTGAGTGAGTGACGGTGAGTGGACGCTGAGTGAGTGGATTGACGTGGAGTGAGTGAGTGAGGTGGACGTGACTGAGTTGGAGGAGTGAGTTGAGGATGAAGTGAGTGGAGGTGAGTGAGAGAGAGAGAGGAAGAGAGAGAGAATTAAGAGCCCATTCTGCCCCATCGCAGGTGACTCTGTCCAACCCACCCAGCTTCCAGTTCACTCCAACCAAACAAGTGTGGGATCTCATTGAATGCTCTTCTTCTCACCTGAGGAAACTGTGGGAAATGTGGTGGTGTGCATTCTTTATGTGGGTAATCGGGATGAAAGAAGGGTGAAAACACAACACTGCACCGTGATGGATAACTGGACAGCTGGTCACGCTGTTAAAAATTCACACTGCTAGATCACCTGCAGTTTCGCACCAACAGGGACGAAAGGGCCGATGTGGAGAACTCTGCTCGCTCATAGGAGGATTAAGTAAATCGCTGGTGTTTGCTTTTGTGACACACGGCTTTTTCTGACTACAGGACATGCTATCACTCGAGACAAAGGAAGCGACATATATACCTCCTCTTACGGACATCCGTTAGGTGGCGATGGCGGAGGTGGAGAGGCCGGTGATGGTCGTCACTACAGATAGCCATTGCAACGATCAAACAGGAGAGAGCTGCGGAACTAAAACACATTTTACACTTTTACAAATCTTTTGAATGAAAGAGAATTGTGCAGCGCTGGTTAACAGTTCTGTAGCTGCCCATCCAATCACTCTGTCTGGCTGTGCGGTTACGGGAGTCCCAAAAGTCTGCCACATGTGTCACATTGTGGTGATATTTCACATTCAAAGTGGGGAGATTATTCACAAACTGCTGTTGGTGGGTGGGGGCAGTGGGAGTTGTGTGTGAAGTGAGAAAGTAAGCGACAGAGTGCTTGAACACAGGGTTGAAATTTGAAATGACACCAAGTGAGGCACCACGGTTCAATAAACATGGGCTGTGGTATCACGTTGCTTGGTAAACTTTATAGATTGGGACATTTGAATTTGTCAGTTATGTGCAGTCTTTGTCACATCGGAATGTAAAACATTGGCTGTGTATCAAACACTTGTTTCTCTGCAGCCTGGATTATCTAGCACTAGTTGAAAGGAGTATAAAAATGAGTTATAAAAAAGGGCCATTAGTCATTTGATCCAAATAATAAAAAATATTATAATAATTTATTATTTTATCTATTATATTCATCTCTATCCTATCTCGTTATTATATATATCTAAGAATAATATATATATCTCTATCTCTATATATATATATATATATATATATATATACATACATACATATACATACACACACACACACACATACATAATTTGTTGAATTTTTATTTTATAATGGAATTTAGTTTGTGGTAGGGGTTTAAGAAAATATTAAAAAATATATTGTTTTGTGATTTTGTATCAATTCTCAAAATCATTATTCATTTTTGTGTTTAAATCAGCAGTGTAAATGTAAAGTGAGGGCTGTAATGTTGGATGTCACAGGGACTGTGATGAATACAAATGCAGATCTCACTGTTCTGGTCCTGTAAATAAAAGTCAACTGGGGCTTTTTATACTTTTATTTGACAGTGAGAGAGAGGACTGACATGCAGCAAATAAAAAAAAAAAATATATAATAATAATAATAAATAAATAAATATATCGTCTTGCTTAAAGTATGCCAATATATCGGAATATATGAAATTGTAACTCCCGTATTGGATAGGTATTTTGTCGCCAGATTCTTACCAATACACAGCTCTAGTTTGTGGTAGTCACAAAATAGAAAAATGCACTGTTTTCATAGGGACTATTTCAATTTAATCTTATTATTGACACATTTAAACAGATTCTGAAGTATTTTTACATTTTACATAGGGCTGTGTATTGGCATGAATCTGGCAATACAGTATGTATCATGATACAGGGGTTTTTTAAATCTAATTTTAGGAAAACTGTCAAAGTATAAATAAAAAATCTGAGTTAAAAAAAGTTTACCAGAACGGTGGGATCTGCATTTGTTTTAATCACAGACATGGACTGTGATTAATATCAGAAAAATTGTTGGTAGCCACAATCTGCTCCAACTCTCACATCATTACTGATTTTAGTCTGTAAGGGAAGCAGGGCAGTGCACTGACCACTGGTTGGGGCTATAATGGTGTGATAAGACAGAGCATCAAAACTGATTCACCTGATTTGTGGTAAAGTGGTAATTATGGTAAACCTTCCACAAGGGACTTTTTAAAAATGTCAGACCTAATGTAAGATTGTCTACTCCATTTGCTCATTAGCATGGTATTGCAATGCAGTAAACAAAACAAGGAGTCTTACACAGTCTACCCTTTGAAGCAACAGTGTTTAACCACAGGCAGATTGCACACAGTTTCCCATGTCCAAAACACAAACACAAGGCAGGATACTGTAAACATAGTGAGAGCAGATTAATTGTTTCTAAAATCTACCACTCTTAATAGGTGATCTCTCCTTACCAATTCCAGACTGACCCACGATCCATGACATGCGGATGAAGAGCATCACACCCCAAATGTTCAACATGCATCGAACCTGCAGAGAGGAGAGACTGTTACTGTGGGCTTGGTTCAACCAGACATCACTCAAGGAGATTATATTAAGAAAATACCTATACAACTGGATATAAGCCATTAGCATTAGCAAACAAGAAACATGAGAATTAGTGTGAGGTTTATGTTAGAGAGGAAGTAAGGACATCTGCCAAAATAAATACAGGATGATCATATCCAGACACGTCTTAACATGAACACTTCTGACTGTGTCTGAGCGTTTAACCACCAACCAGTATGAGCCATCTGTGGTTCACACTAACAGTCCAAAATCCTTTACAGTGTCACCTGCTTGCACATACAGTTCAAATTGTATAGTAGCACACTTATCACCTGTGACTTCACTGAGTTTAACTGAACACTTGGACATTTGAGCATATGTGAAATATTCCGACCAATGCAGATGTCAGATTCGTTGGTACTAATTATAGCTTATAATCTCAAAAACTTGGGACATATGTAGAACCATTGATGTAATGGACAAACCGTACAGCCATTTCTCTCTTTCAGTATGCAAGCTGCAAAATTTAAAGAAACATTTAGTTTCAGTCTTGCTTGTGTAATGCTTGTATTTTGTAGCTTTTTAAAAAAAAACTATCTTAGTCCCAATGTCAGACCCTGCGCACTGTCCAGAGGTTGATGCCCAGACGTGTCCCACACACAGCAAAATAGGAAAATCCAGGCAGAAGGCTGCAGGATACAGACACTGCCACGTACTTCTAGTGGGTCAGGAGCAATGAGAGGTAATCCCCCTCAATCATCTGTACACACTGAAAATCCTACCTAGCATGTCTTTAACAGTGCTTGTGGGTAACTTTACTAAAAGAAAAAGGAGTCTTGGAAAAATAACTGATGAAAACAACATATTTATGAGTACAAAAGAAAGTCAGGTTTAACTTACCAGCACACCCTTGACCCAGCCAAACTTGACCACTCCTTTGGACTCTGCTGATTCTTTAGCAGCAGCCTCCTCAGCCGGGGTCAACTCATCGCCATTGGCAAACCCATCCTCAAACGGTTCCTACAAAGCACAGACAATAGAATCATTCTTATATGAGGATACATAGACTGTGGAGAACCAAGCCCACTTTACAGACTGTTTGAATCCTGAATACATGGTAACCTTGGTGCCAGAACATTCAAATGTGGTCACAGGGTATGAATCCTGGGTGTAGCTGTGGTCGGAGAAGGAAGAAATCCAGCTAACTGAATATAATAGGCCAAGACAAATCAATCAAGTCAATCAAGCATACGCCCCCAAATATACTTATCTTTTTTAACTTTCTCCAAAAAAATCCATTTCAAAATCAAGTAGAAGTAAAAGTAAATGACGAGTTTGGGACTTTTCTACATTTCTAAGTGAGATTTGGGCTGGTTGTGTGCGGTTTCACTGTGCACGCTGAGGGAGAAGTTGTATTTTCAAGGTTCAAACCATCTTGTAAGAGAGTAAAGCCTGCTCTGTGTAATGTTCAAAGGACTCCTGGTAAATGGGAATGGTAAAACGTGTCGGGATCTGACGTGACTGTATTTTGTGATATCTAGGCCACCTTTAATGAACACCACAATATGACTTCATGAAATGACACTGAAAGACAAAATAAACCCCTCTGGCTGACAGGTCTAACTGGCTCTTTAAAATGGACCGACACACTGACAGAGCATGTGTTTAATACACAGGAAGCTTCCCTCCTGTGCACAGATAATGCTGTGACGTTGGTGGCCTCCCTGCTAGAGGTCGTTGGGTATACAGCATATTGTCCGCCCTGCATTTATAGCACTCGTAATGACCTCGGGATGAATACAGGACGTCTGCAAACCAATCTTTTGTACTTATTCTTCTTATTCTTAAGCTTTACCACCATTTCTTCCCTCCACTGGCCAGGGACACAAAAAGGTTGGACAAAAACCAGCTCAACAGAATGACTTTAGAACAGCTCTGACATCGGCCGAACAAAACTCATTAACATAATGTTCATAGCATAATGTTATATGGTAGTTAAAATGGCAATTGGGGCCGCAGTGCTTATTGCAAGCCACAACAGAAGTGAGGGTTGGCCCGAAAAACATACAGCCAATCAAAGCTGCATCGAAAAATCTATTAATCCAGTGTTCCTCAAATGGGGGTAATTGAAAAAAATATTTTTAAAAAAAGGTCATGCATAATTCTTAAAATAAGAATATAAGTTCAAGAAAACAACGTTCCACAAGTTCCACAAACCACATTTTAAATTCAGTATTTTATTTTCAATGCAATCATTAACTGCCATAAACAAGCTGACGTTTCTTTAGTGAATTTAGTGATGGATTCTAAACATCTGAAATGCAGCAGTTAAGTTTTTCTTAATAAATTAGACAGTGAGAAAAAGTTCTTTGAGCCTGGCTGATTAGAAAGTTAAAAATTGTTTCATTGCTGGTTTTTCCTCTGATCTATATTAATATGTTCAGCAAATGTCAAGGCAGTGTATGATATTATGTAATATATAATGCAAAAGTTAAGGGTGTCACTAGAGGAAAGGCCATCTCCAAAGCCACACATGTCTCAGCATATGGGCACAATGAACACACTCACTGTTATGTTCACATTCAGTGTTCTTCAAAAACACGCATTGGGCATATCCTTGATATCAAGTGCATTTCCTTCCTCATAAAACATTTGCAAAGCTGATTTTTTTTTTTTTAAATGTACATTTAATCCAGCATTGTTTACATCCACTTGCTTCACAGCATTCGTTGGTGCATTGCAGCATCTCTCGCAGTGTTAGCAGCACCTGTTCTGGTCAGTGAAAGTGTGGCACCATTGGTAGGGAGCATGTGCGTGTGTACAGAAATAATTCATGATCAGGCATAAATATTCTCTAGACATCCTGTTCAGGTGTATAAATTACATTGCCTTTTGAACGTGTGTTTTTACATGGGCATTTCATATTCAGAAATGCATCTTTTGCTCCTCTTTTGCTGTGTCATTTTACAGCAGTGGAAAGTGAGTGTGTCGATATAGCTCGGGCTATATGATGATGTGCACATCCCAAGAGAAACAAACACTAATTGTTAACACTTTTCACTGGTGCACATTATGAGGGTACAAGCCTTAATGGGAGAATAGTTTACTGACACTTAGCAGCACTGAGTCATACCAGAGGCATTTAAATACTTAGTGTGCATTTTTACCCTAACAGGCTAATGTATTAGGCGTAATAAATGCACATATTTAAAATGAGATGGTACAAGATAATGTCAAAGAGTCATTTTCCCACATTTCACCAACAGATGGGAGGCATTAGTTGAGTAATATATTATCTCTCATGAGGAAGAATCAATCTTAATCTAATTCACAAGACTGACTGTACATGACACCCACAGCTTTAGATTACAGAAACAACGTATTTCACAACAAACAATGTATTTTATCGACACTCTCCCTCAGGCTCTGTTACACTCTGTTGGGCGTGTTGGTGTTATAAATTATCCAATAATGCTGGGCCTTTGGCATGCACTCAGCTGAGGGAGGGCTTGAGCATCACTTCACCTGGGCCATCTGTCAACATGAACACCCTGCCTGTGTCCCCTCAGTGACTCAGCAGCACTGCTGAGACCTGGAACATGGCAGCTAGACGGAAGCCAAAATCCCTCTCCACGTCCGGGTTCACTTCTGTTCCAAAATGTATTTTTACACTTAACAGGATCCCTTTACTCATTCATTTGTCTTCTTATAGACCCAAACACAATGTTAGGGTATTCTGTTCAGCTAAAGGGGCAACAATTCAACTCATCGGACAGATATAGTCATTATCCTTTTGATTTTCAGATTGTGAAAGAAAATTTAAAAGGGATTCATTTATTAGTCAATTTATATATAGAAATATTTAACATATTAACAACGTGTACTACTAACCCTGTGTGATTGCTATCATTGTTGTATAGCCTGGTTAAGCCCTTTGTCAGAATCCGAAGAAGGGTCACAACTTATCCTGGGAAGGAAAAAAGGCTGAACAGGACTGCTAGGAAGTAGTAGGATCCCACTTTACGGCTAATGAATTAGGTGGTATCAGATCGGTAGCCAAACACATGTACCTGGCCATATGCCACATTTTGGGCAGTATCTGTCAGAGCTCTAAAATGTATATCTATGTATTTACTTGTTGAATTTTGTCTTACAAAGAAAGAATAGCAATATTTAGCAATGCTGCAATAGGTAACTTTTGACAAAAAATACATTTAGTCAAATACCGACACTAGGAGACTCAATCAACTATCTTCACGCATCCAGCCCAAAGTGGTAGTTGTCTTTCTTGGTTCTGATTGGTTTCTTGGTTGATTTTTTCACAGATTATCTGTCTCATGTTCTATTGTCAGGATTAGGGTTGTAACGATACACTCAACTCACGATTCGATACGGTTCACGATTTTTTGTTCACGATACGATTTTCTCACGATTTTTTGTTTTTAAATCAAATTGAGCTACAGACAAATTATGACCAAATAAAATGATATTTATTCTGTAGGAAAAAAAATCTCTAGAGTCCTTTCTTTACAGAAAACTATGTAAAAAGTTTGTGTCCTCTTATAAAAAGAGGAGATAGATAAGACACAGTATAGCCCCTCCGGAAGACCTCAACCACATGACTCTTACTCCTGGTAGAAGTTGTGACACCCTGCTGAAGTGCTGTCATGACGGATGCGGCATCTTGGCTCCAGGTGTTCATCAACAGACAAAAGCCTCATTTTTCACGACGGGAAAATGGCCTACAAATCTTTTCCAATAAAATAACCAGTTGCCCTAGGTAATTTTTGCGCTCTCTGCCGTGTTATGGGAGAGGAATGCAAAGCCTCTCGTAAGGGTGGTTTGCCCCTTGGCAATTTCGCTCAGGAGGTGCGTAACGTTATTTGCTTCTACGTGGTGGCGGCTAATATGCTGCTGCATGTTGCTCGTGTGCCGGTATATGGTTAGAGTTCTCTGCAAATGTTACATGCTGTTTTGGTTTTGTCTGTCCATTTCTCACCGATTGTCATATGTGTAATATGGCGGAAACCAAATGCGCACACCAGGTGATTTAAACGTCGGTGCATCTCCTATTTCAAAGTTGTTGCTTACCAGGCTGCCGTTTCATTTAGTCGTTCAACATGCCTCGTTCACTTACCCTCAGCCCTTGGTATGAACGTACAGCATACGTCGCACGGAGGCCACTTGGAGCGGAGAGGGAAAGTGGGCGGGGAGGACGGGGAATTAAATGAAACGCATTTGCTCCACGGAGTCTTACTCATTGGCAGCCGTACGGACTTATAGCGCAATGGCGAAACTGCAATGCATTGTTGGGGTGATAATCCACTCCAGATGAGCCATTCGTTGCTCACTCGGCTCCTCTCAGCCCTCCGAGGGTCCATCTCACAAGTTCATTCAGTTTCCAGACAATTGAACAACACTTATGACAGCGCGCGGGGATTCCCCAGGGCAAGTCACCAGAGCAATGTGAAGAGGAGCAATGAACTACTAATGAAACGCAGCCATTCTTCCCTCGTCTGTGCCCATACCTACTAGTGATGTAAGTACATGATTGACGCTGACGTTGAACAATGAATCCCAACCGTGATTTTTTTTAAGATAACGTAACCTATTTCTTAAAAAAAAAAAAAAAAAAAAAAAAAAATACCTACTCTACCCTTCTCTTGAATCCGCGATTCATTTGTTTCTGTCTGATTTTTAATCGTGTCACGATGCATCGTTACATCCCTAGTCAGGATATATTTAAAGTTTCAGCAAATATGACAAAAAGCTGTTTTGATAAAAGATACCTACTGCAGCTTTAAATCAAGTTTATGATACATATAAAATAAGGATACCTAGTTAGAAGGGATACTGTATATCCAACAGTTTACAAGTAGTAACTGCACTAGTTACTATTCCACCTCTCTTTAATAAGACAATACGAGGATGTGCACTATTGCTCAACCCTAAGGTATGTAAATAAATAAGTAAATGTCAGATATCAAAACACAGAAATCAGTAAGGGTAAAAATAAAAAT